TTTTCAATAAAAGCAGATCGGACAGTAGTTCTGGCTGCAAGGTATATAATATTGCACTCATTCTAATACAGTGTTTCCATAGTAACAACAACCACGCTTTGGTCAAATTCATTCAGTCTTCTAGTAAATGCAGTCTATGCAGTGTGTCCTTAGCATTCAACTTGTCACTGCTGAATAGCAAAACATACTATTCTGGAAAAGGGAAAATTGTATATGTAAATCTTAATACAGCTCGTCATAATATGTTCATTTCTATAGTAACAATGTACACATGCACTTGTATGCGTGGCATATAACAGACTAAAATCACAGGTAATGCAGGGAATATAATGCAGGGGAGACATTTTAGCATTTTTTTGAAGAAGCATTTTTTTTTTTTAGCAATTTTGAAAGAAGTCTCCAGTGTCAACACTTTGTGAGTTTTCTGACCCAGGAAAGTCTACAGAACAGAGGAAACTTTGTGCTTTCGGGTTTCTTGGTAACATGTCAAGCTGTGGCTTTATGTCTTGACAACTTCAAAAGGGAGAAAAAAATAAAAGCTAGTGAGGAAACAATTTATAACTGCTATAACGCAAGTGAAAACATGAACTAACCTGTCTTTGGAGACGTTTCACAACATTAAATGTAACTATAAGTGGTTAAAAAGTATGAAAATTGTAATTATTGCCAAGTTGTTGTGGTGCAAGAGAAATAAAACAGTTGATGTTTTAAAAACAAAAATAATCACACCACCCACATTGATTATTTTCCTATGAAAGCACACTTGTCATGTTTTCCTCCTTACTTGTTGTGCAAATTTCATTGCAGGCATAGTAACAAACCTCACCACACCTCTGTCAAGATACTAGGCTCTGGATTAAAAAGCAAAACCAGCACTGAATATTATGATTATTATTATTATTATTATTAATATTACAATCAGTGCTGTGAATCTGAATCTCCACATCTCTTGTTTATTATCCACCCTGACTGAATGGCTCAGCAATTTGTTTTGCTATTCTGCACCAATCAGGCCACTGATTCCATAACTAGAGTTAGCAGTTCAATCCCAGACCATGCGGCTTTCTTCTCACGGGATTTAGAGAGCACAAAAAATCCTGGGCAGCCGGAGAAAATGGAGACCCCCTTGCACTGCCTCTTGATGCAACAGTCTTCTTAATGCAAGTGGCATGGTGTGTCCATGAGTAAATGATTTGCATGACAATCTCCCATATTGTCCTTCTTTAGATGTGCTTCTTATCCTCCACTCCCTGACCCATGCAGAATTCAGTTTCCCGTTTTTGCTCCCCATATGTCCAGGCATTTCACTTTCATTTCCCTCAGACATGTTAAAATCTGAGTTGGCAATGAACCTAGACATAGTCTTGTCTACTTGTGGCTTTTTCTCTTTTGTTTTGAATGGTAGTTCATTTCTAAATATTTATTCTAATAAAATTTGCTCTGGAGAGCAAAAGGGAGACCTGAGAAATATATAACTTCTATATCTTTGTTATATATGGAAGGTGGTGAAAAAAATGTGCAAAGAATTACAGCAGACTGTGACAAATAACCCATGCTAAATGACAAACAAGACAGGCTAAAATGCAACAAAAATGTCAATACAATTATAGAGGAATACAGATATTTACTTATTATTTATTATTTATTTATTTATTACAGCTTGCTTGCATATTAATGGAATAAATGCTAAAGGATGAATGACAAAACATGGGGCTAAAAATGATAAACAAGGCGCATATTTGTACCAGAGCACACACTAAACTCCGCTACCTCGGTAATCACATCTTATTTAGTAAAAGTGTTTGAAATTTGAATTATTGGAATTGGAATAAAATTAGAATTATTTGACTGTTTTTGAATTAATTTATCGATTTATCATTTTTATTTGTAATATGCCACAGATTAGGATTATTTTCCTATCACATACATCCTGACGTTTTTAATTTGCGAACACTAACAATTATTTATTTATTAAAGAACGAGCTGTAATAACTTTTATCCAAATATAGTTACATTTAATGTTATCTGACTTCCTTACATTAACTCACCTCATAGCAGCACAAGCCCATCTTTTTTTCTCTCTCATGAAAACTTAAAGTTACAGCTTTAACTCTGACTGTTACAAAGTGCTAACACTGGAAACTCCAACATGCAAGTCCCTGTGTACATTGTTACTATAGAAATGAACACAATAGTATGAGCACATTAATGTAAACCACATGATAACTATCTGTTGTATTAAGATATGCATATTCCTCTTTGTGAAAATAGCATTTACTGACACTGAGAATGGCATTTATTGATATTAAGACCCCCACACTGCATCAACTGCATGCATTAGTAGACCCACTGGATTTGACCAAAGCATGGGCAGGGTTGATACACTTATTTTAATCACATATTTGAAATAGAAAACTTGCTATGCAGTTTATATAAAAATGCATTTGTTATACATAATTTTTTTTTTTAAATTTACTGTTACTTTTGTAACATTACATGATTTTTTTGTAAACGTTGTGACATCATGTAAATTGATCCTCATGTGGTTCAGTTGCATTTTAGTGTAGGGGCTCACCCCACTCCATGGCTAAACGGCTAGAAATTCTCCGCATCACCACAGATATATAAAAGGCACCACCTCTGTTTATGAACAGTGTATGAACAGTGAAATAGTGCAAACAGGTAGCTGAATCATCAGGAAGGAAGTGGAGACTTAGGAATGTGTTGGCTGATTTGTTTCTATCCAAAATGTGACTGTTATACCATGGTTATACTTTTTCGCTAATTGGCAAGCTGGATGCTAGCAGACAAAGCTGCTATAATTTTGCAACTATAGTAGGCCCTAGACAACACACTGGAGAGAAATATAACAGCGGATAATAGATTACAATCCAAAGAGACAGCATAATTGATTGACCCTTCAGGATTTATTGCAGAACACCAGTGTGGTTTCTGAAGGGCACCTAGCATTAGCATTATCATCCATCAGTACACATTATTCTGGTGATGTTAAACTGCCACTACTGATCTTATTTTCCTTTATATTTCAGTATTTACAAAATGCAGAATATCGTTCAATACACTTTTCAACAAAGTACATTGCTCCTTTATATACGGTGGGGTCCAAATGTCTGAGAGCACTAGTGAAAATGCTTCTTTTGCATTCTTTTCTAATTTAATACAACAAATTTCATTGCAAATTATATCACTGACAGCAACTTGAGTGAAAAGTGGAATACTTCTTTGAAATATTTACATGAATTTCGGAGTTTATTAGTATTTACTTTTTGCTTTAATGACAGTGTGCACTCGAGCTGGCATGGACTCCACGTGTTTGTGCAAAACCTTATGATCCATTTTAGATCAAATCCATCAGTGTGTATCTGAACACATGCTTCAATAGAAAACATTTGGCATGAGGAAAATCTGACCTTCTATACAAAGCAGTTAACATGTTCAATATTACAGATTTGCTTACATTTAAATGGAGATCTAGAAATTGAACATTTACTTTCTTTGTTTTAAATATTTAAACATTCTAAAACCTTCTGTTTATTTCCAATTTTAATTGAAAAATCCCAGCTTTTCAGTGTGGTCTCAGACTTTTGGACCCCACTGTATATATATCAGTTTTTCAAAATACGGAATTTTTAATGAATTATTATTGTTTATTTCTTTTTTATTATTTTTTATACATATTTATTTCACACAATAATCCTTTCATGAATGTCCATTTGTTGTTTGTTGTGTACATTCTACATACAAATCAATGTTTATCCATATGGTTGAAATATAGTACACAAAGTTCCTGTTCAGTTCATTTCGTTCCATTTCGAGGAATATTATAATTTTTCTGAAAGAGGGAAGATGTATAGCTCATGGCTATAGAATATCAAGTGATAATTATCGATAAAAATGGCCTGTTTGTCTAATTAGGCTCATTTACCCTGGCTTGGAGGTTCCTAACACATAATCATTTCCTCACAGAAAACTGAAAGCGAATGCTGTAAGAGAACACTAACCACATTCCCTTTGATGATTTTCACAATGAGCTCCTCTCTAATCACGCATTGCATTGGGTTCCTGTGTTGAAAACTCATTTTTCCCCCTCTTTTCCGGGGGTTGTCACTGGCTCTCAGTGAATTCCATGGATTATGTTTTCCCGTTGAAACCCTATAACTCTGTAATCCAAGATGAGGCCATTTATCAGAATACTAATAGATAAACAGAAACACCTTTCAGCTATTTGAGCTAATGAAATGTTTGCGGCTTATGTTTCAGTTTTGCCATTTGTTTAGGCTTGTATTTGTAAGAAAGTTCTGTATTGTAGGTGTTTAATCCTAGAATAAATAAACATTTGGATGCTTTGTGGATTAAAGGAACATTACCTTTTTCCCAAACATCAAACAGAGGCACATGAAAATGATAAAAAAAAAAAAAAGGTTTTGTTGTTTATTCCCCATGCCATGGCAGTTTATACAATGTATTCTGGTTTTCTGTTTTTTGGTGCTTTAATATTGTACGTATGTGGTTGAGACAAATTTAAGCCTGGAAATCAAAATCCTGGCTTATATGAATAATGGATAAAAAAAAATGACAGAGCATTGAGCAGAAGCAAAGGCACCACATATTTGTGTGTTGTTAACAATGAAGCGGTGTGTTCCTGCCTGCAGCTGATACCGCTCATAGGAAACAAGGACCTGGACCAGATCTGAATAGTTAATGGGCACAGTCCCACAGTCACATCACATTCATTCCTTATCTGCTCTCATTCCTATGCTGCTCCACAACAGTAATTAGTATTCCCTTCCTTCTCTTCCCTGGAACTCAGGAAGGCTGGCAGAGTGACCAGCAGAGAGGCCACTTCTCCCAGGAGGAAACCGGACCATAGTCTGAGTGCAGGAAAGAGATTGTAACAGAGGAAGATGTCTAGGCTGTGGTGCGTGCATGGCCAGGTTCTAGCTTGTGAATTAAATGTGCATATCATTGAGTGAATTTGGTCCCTGGAGGACAAGTGGTTAGGCCACAGCGCTCTCACCGCTGCCGCCCGGGTTTGATTCCCGGCCAGGGAACCAACCCCAGCCACTGGGGTTGCGTGCAACAGTGTGCTCTCAGTGCCGGTCCCAAGCCCGGATAAAATTGGGGAGGGTTGCATCAGGAAGGGCATCCGGCGTAAAAACTGTGCCAAATCAAATACGCGGACCAATGATCCACGGTGGCGACCCCTAACGGGAGCAGCCGAAAGAGGAATAACAACATTGAGTGAATTTATATTGTCTACTGAGAAAATAGCCGAGTCCACTGAACTACCCCTTTCAATATAGGTATAGATGTTAAACCTGGCTGTGAGTTTTGCATGCCCAATACACAAACGCACAGCAGATTGTCATTGCTTGCCCTTTCTGAGCCTGCTAGCACACTGTAAAGGTCAAAAGACAAAATAAGTGAGCCATAAGCAGCACATACAGACTTTTTAAACTCATTTTCAGCCTTAAAAGGGCTACATTATATGGCCAAAGTTTGTAATGTTTAGATGTAATACATCTGTTATGCTGTAATGTATATAAGTTTGTTTAAAATGCAATGTAATTTCTGCTGCAGTCATTCCGTCACAATTTTTGTGGAATCTTTTTTTTTCATGGTGCTGCCTCGGCTACTCACAGTGCTGCCCACCTCAGTGGAAGCACCCATCCTAGTCCTGCCTGCAAATTAGGGCTAGATCTCTACTGCTTTCGTGTGTGTGTGTGTGTGTGTGTGTGTGTGTGTGTGTGTGTGGGTGTACGTGGATGCACGTGTGAGTGTGTGTGAGTATGTGTGTGCCCTGACTTGTCTAAAAACTGCCAAGTGAGAACATTGTGACACTCTGACAGTCAAGGCAAGCATCCCCCAGCAGGACCCATGGGCATTTTAATTGGCCTACTTCCGAACTGTAATTTTTTTTAATTGCTTTGAGACACTGGGCTCTCCTAAAAAAATCAATGCAGATGTAATAATATCTGTAATTGTCTGCCACACTCTGGGGACACCACAAAAGCCTCGGATCAATGGTGGAGAGCAGGGAAGCTGTTAGGGTTAATTTTTCCTTTTCTCTCAGTAATGACAGGGAGACGAACGCTGCTGCCGCTTCGCCGGCCCAACTTCTACATTTTCTATTGTCTTTGTGCGTCTTAATTGAGCTAAATGCAGTTACTTCTGTACTGGAGGCAGCAGAGCCTATGATTAATGAGGCAGCCAGTCACGGAACTGTGATAAAAACCAGACAGAGATTAAAAAAAAAAAATCAATCTGTTTTGCCTCTCTTTGTCCTCTCTTTTCATCTCTTTTAACTTAAAGTTGCTTCCAAGGAAATAAGCATTTGGCTGACTGCTGAAGCCTTGAGCTGTAGAGTTACTAATGACCCAACAGGCCACTGCAGAACAGTGGGTGTTATCGAATGCCAGGAGGGTGACTGTCCAGTGAATGCTACCTGTGATCAGGATGTCACACTTGCATGTAAAGGTTGTGACAGTTGGTGGCTCAGCCCTCGGGTGTGTGCAGGGAGCGTCCCTTCCTCCGCCATCTCTGGAGACATGTGTCAGGAGTCGAAGGTAAAAAGTTCATAGGTATTAGCCTCCCAGGGTCAGTCTGGCCTTTTGACTAATTACCTCATTAAGTCTCACTCCAATACACCCTGCCTGTACGCCAGGACTTTGGCCTGTTGCATTGTGGGGAAGTGGGGAAAGGGGGGGCTCAGAATGACCCTATGATGCAGCACTGGACACAGAGTACAAAGGTCAATCTCAAAACGGCCAAACAAAGTCCTAAGATTACACATGGCTTTGATTTTGGTTCCCACTTTGTCTGAAGCTCTCTGTAAAGTAACTATAAGTGCCACATAGTGAATGGTAATTAGAAAAATGTTTAGATGCAGTTCTCTAAAATAAGATATAAGAATTGTGTTGTATGATTTTAAGTTAATAGAACATAATTCAAAATGTCTCATTTGGGGTGTATATGAACAGTGTATACAACCTTGTAGTGGTGAGTATAATTGTTTCACAGTCCTTATTATTTATTAGAATGTTAACTTTGAATACAATTATGGTCTATTTGTGCTGGTCTTTTCACCTTATATGTGAGATCCACCTCACTGTTAGCTGTATTGTCTTTTCTGTGCCTTATTATGAGTGTGATGGATTTTCTCTCATTACTGATTCAGTTCATTAAGAGAAGAAAAACATTAACGATGTTTACAGCCCTTGTTTGAGTCAGTTATTTTCTGGTGCCACACCAATGATCTATCCCCTTCCTCATTTTCTTTAGAAATTAATTAATGTTTATATTTGAGCGTGCTGATATGACTTGGTATTTCCAAGACATTGTAATTCCTCTGTGAAAAATTCAACAATTACCATAAAATGTATGAATGATAATTAAGGAGCAGTGTAATGTCAATAGTTCCATGATTAATCCCTAAGAACACAGCCAAATGGTGTACGCTGTAACTTACTAATTGATAAGCAATTTCATTTATTCTTAATTACTGAAAGACCCATTTTCTTGCAGTCATGATTAGACTTCCAAACCTACTTAACCAGTCAGGGCTAATGCAGTTACTGTATGAAGCCATCTCCCTCCCCTCTCTCCTCTCCTTCTGGTTTTGGAAGGTGTTCAAGTCCCATTAGCCCTGAACAGACATGTGTGCTTAAAGTAGCACAACTAAAGCTTGCTCAACAAAGTTTTATGTTCAAAACCCAACGAGAATTATGAACCGTAATACTTTATTTAAAGCGGCGGAACATCACTTATTACTCAAGGCCGAATTGTTGAATTTGTATGATTTTTCCCCTATTGCTTCCTCTGCCATCTATAACAGAGGAGTCGAGTAAGCCAGTTTTCCAAAATTGCCACATTAGCACAGAGCTGTGCATTCAGAGATGTGTCCAAGAGTCAATGTCAAAGTTCTTCTTGCATTTTCCTATAGAGAGATCTGCCCTGCTCCAAACAATGAGATTTCTCTCAAAGCTCCACGATACTCTAAGATGATTTCTCTCCACCTTCTTCATTTGGTCACACCTCCTGCTCCTGAATAGTCACCTTTGAGAAGATTAACCCTTTCATTAAAAATGCTTGACCAGGGTCCATTATCGCCTGGCTTGCCTTTGATCGATCAGCTATGGAGAAATTATTAGCAATTTCTAAGCCTTGCCATGTGATTTGTTTTTGTAAATTTGCAGAAAATATTCCTAATCCTATTATGTGGCCTGGGGGGGACCTGTATCAAATATATAAGGTTTTGTTGGGTAAGAGAGGGTCAGTAGGGGGGACTACTGAATGCAGGTTCATTTGGAAACATGGGAATGGAGACACCCCATCAGAAGGGCTCTAATCTCTTGACCTGGTCATACACTTTTGAAGAATGTCTTTCCCCTACATTGTAAATGCCACTCTGATCACTTGAACCAGGAGAAAGCTAAGTAAACTATTGTCTTAACCGAATATGAATAAAGAGAGTTTACTGGCAAGCAAGGAATAATTGTAACAATACTACTTGGCCATCATTATAAAGCACATATGTAGCGCAACTAGGAAAAGAGGAAAAAAGTCCCAATTCTTCCAGCTCCTATCTCCCTTTCAGAGCCCGACACTTTGTAGAACAAAAGTCAGCGTCTAAGTCCAAATCTCATTTGACAATGCGTAGCAGCCTGTGCTATTTTAGGTCCTTTGTGGTGCCAATCTCCTATCTCTCCTGTGACATTTTTTCAAAGAAAGAGTAGATTTCCTAGAGACTCTGCCCTTTGCAACTTCCACAGTGTATTCTCGCCTATAGACTCAGAACTTTCCTTCGCTGTAATGCAGCAGCACCCCGCTTCTATTGCACCACTGACCAGAGAAAGGGAAATTAAGACAGCGTATCACGCTAAGGTCAATTCAGAAAGGAGCCTTTTTACAGATGCCTAATTCCCGACTGTTTTCATGCATTTAAAAGTGTTTTAGTGTTGGAATGTTCATACTGTTTTTTATGTCTTAGAAAGGAATAAGCCTACATTTTTTGGCTCATGGCTATTGGCACATTATGCTGAAGTATAAAACTGTGATGCAACTGAACTGAGAAATTTTGTGACTTCTATCATGAAACAGTGTAATTGGATCACTCTAATTAGGCTTATAATTAATACTAAGACTGTATTTATGAGTCTATGTATAGGCTTAACTGGTTTACCCACTAAGCTCCAAACACATCTGCCTTTAATAAAGCACTCATTTAGAGTCCAATTAGGCTCTAAGTGGCCAGTTAATCAGTTCTTAAATACAAAATATAGGTCTTTTGTGTAAAATCTGTTTAATAATTTTCCTTCATTGCCATTTTGTACATGTTCAGTTATTTCAGAGGCACTATTGCTTAACCTGCAATAAAAGACAATAAAGGAGTTTAAAAACTTCTGTCAGTTTATCTAAAGTCAGTATTGTTCAGGGATCTTTATCTCTGGATCTTTATCTTCCAGTTAAAATTATGAATAACGCTAACACTGTTGCCTGTATTTTTATACACCTGAGTGTGCCTTTTTAATGGGTTACAACATTTTAAAGCACTAAAAGCTCTTTTATTTTTGGTAATTTATCAGAGTCGATGTTGTATTTTTCCCCAGCTTTTCTTGACTGTATATGTACTGCCTGTACTCTGGTTGTCAGGCTGCCACAGAGCAATGAATGCATATAACTTTCCCCATCAGTTAACAGAGCTCTTAGAGTTGGCAAAGGTCCAACACCATATTAATTTGCCATAGAGGTATTAGCTATCATGCCATGTTATTTTTCAGATGGGGAAAAAAAGAGGGGCAAGTCGCTCTAAATAACATACTTCTAATTAGCCGTGTTTTGCAGTTAATTTCCATAAAGAGGCTGAAGAGATTGTACATTCTCTCTGGCAGGGTTGGAAGCTGTGGCTCTCCTCACCGTTAATCAGGGAACACACTTTTTGCCTGTGTCTCAAAGGACAAAGGGGAACTCTGTAAAAATAGGAAGGGCTGACGCTGTATCTTGACTAGAACTTTGTAATTATGTGAGTGTAAATTGCAGAAAAAATGGCTTG